TTTCTAACTTTGTGTATCATTGTGTTTTCCCTGTTTTACTTTATTGTTCACCTGTTATTTTTCCCAACCTCCTTAAGAAAGCTTTTAATTTGCTTCGACGTGGATTGACCATCATTAGCCGTGTCTCTTCAAAAGGAGTTGATGACTAACCTATGCGAACGTCATTTGAATGCATGTGAAAGTTTGCGCATAATATTCTTATCGACTCCACACATCCTCTACACGCTAACCTAACTTCCTGTTGTTCCCATCCCTCAACTAGATCACAATATCGTTGTGTTCTTTCTAGAATAAACATTTATCGTAACTCCACATTACCCTCATTAGCACGTATTCTTGTGAACAAAGAACAGGTTTTCACAGAATTTGTTAACAGTTTTGGAACTTAAATCTTTTTTTTCATTGTTATTTTCATTTTCTCTCGCTCCACACTGTATATTTTTTAACTGAAATGTGGGCTTCATGCTTGCAGAAGTTATTACAATACAATACAATTCAGATCATTGAGCTTCTCTGGTTAGGACACGTATTCCGCATGCCCAACAGTCGCCTACAGTACGGCGTCCTATTTTCAGCTGCTGCTTCCGGGCTGGAGAAACTCAGTTGGAGTCTAGCAGAGGACCTCTAGACGAGGCGTGAGGTGCACAAAACGATTAAATAGCTTAGATTTCTCTCGTCTCCCAGGCTGAAGTTAAAAGAACTCCATAGCGGGCTGGTTGGAGACACTGAAGGTCATGACAGCGAATCGATAGAAGTGGGAGTTTCAATCTTTAGCTGGTGATTTTTGCCTCTGGAAAAACTGGCCGAAACTCTGCCCCAGTTCTTGATTATAAGCATCCGAAAATTGGCGCGTAAATACTCGGTTCTGTGGTTTGACCTAGATTCTCTCCGTGTTGGGATAACATTGGTAGTTGTTGATCAGTCAGAGATGTAGTCATAGGCATTAGGTGAAATGCAGTTTTATAAAAGGTCAAATTTTTCAGTCAAACGCACCAACTGTACAGACGAAACGATGAAATTTACAAAACCAGTGACTCCACCCTTTCGATGACGTATTTGCGCTTGGATCTGCTTCGAACCTCTTTGGTCGAATACGACTGAGTAGAGAATCAGGAGCCCAGAATTCAAGCTTTATTCATCAAGCAACTTCACAAGTGGATCATAAGAGGAAGAAAGGTATGCAATATAAAATGGACTGCAAAGTGATACAAATCAGATACCATCCATTATGCATGACATGGAAACAAGATAGAAACAGATTGTCGGTGTTCGAACATCGCTATCTATACAGCATTGCATGACTCTGGTGGGAAACCGGGCGAGCAATTCTGAGGTTAGTCTTAGAGTTTTAGGTAATCGCGGTCGTCCACTGGAGTAAGTAGTCGATCTCTATAGAATACGCTGGTTGGGACATGTTCTACGCATGTCACTAAATGGGTTGTTATGGCGCGCGATGTTTCCAGATGCAGACAGTTGATGGAAAAAGGTCCAGAGGGGTCAAATTGAGACCTGACATGATGATATGAAAACCTCAACCAAGAGTGTAAATGTCGCAAACAGTAGCGCTCCTGTATATACTCATTATCCTTACAGCTCCAGTCTATATGAGCTTTGTATCTCTCTTTGACTCTGCTCTCAACCTTCCAATCTTCATTCTACTATTTTATACAAAAGACCGCAACCAAAATCGGCTCACGAATGTGCATGGAGGTTAATGGTTGTGAAAACTGAAACCACACACGTGGCCATCTCCTTTTTCTCAAAATGGGTCCACTCTCCATCCACCTTACGCATTCGTCCGTTGTGTATATTATGAGTTTGGCAGCGACCAGTGAAGTTCGTTTCGCTGTATTTTGCTGTACGATGATGAGGATCTTCATCATCACTCGTGGTAATTATAGAGGATATCTCAATCAACGAGATTGAAGAAAACAATGAACGAGTAAATCAGTAAATGAGTCGGATAAACCGCTGCGCTTAGAAAAACTCCAACTCCTACAAAAGTGAGATGTATCTTAGGGTGTAGAGCGAGCACTCTGACGGATCAACTAATCGATGGTTGTCACATTGAAAGTTAGCCCGGTTCATCTCATTCAATTTAATTCAGTTGATTAGTCTGCCTTGATCATTATATTTACCAAACTTTTTATCTTCATCAATTCTGTTTAGTTTTAAATGAAATAAATCCACATTTTCCGCAAATTTCCAGTTGTCATTTTCATTTCAGCGCAAGATGGAAGAGAACGGGGTGGCGTTTTCCACACCTTCGCGCAAATTACATTCACTATCAGAATTCAGCATAGATTCTTACAAGAAGTTGAAATCCTCGGCTGAATCGTTCATTGAAGAAACCTTACTTGCTGAAAGCACCACTGATTCTTCAAAACGGGACAATACCATCTTTAGCGACTTTTTTGGGCTTCCGTCACGCGTGCGTGATCTCTATGCTGAACAGCGAGGAGTCCATCGCCTTTATGGTATTTTCAGATTTGCTGGACGTAGTGACTTTTCCAGATTGGCAAAACGAATGTCTTAAATTAACCATGCAATCAGGTGGTGCTAATTTGGTTTATAGTTTACCAACAAGTGGCGGAAAGACTCTGGTAGCCGAAATCTTGATGCTTCGGGAGCTACTTTTACACAACAAAAATGTTCTCTTCATCCTTCCTTTCGTGTCCATTGTTCAGGAAAAAGTAAGTCACTACACTTGTTTCTCTCTATATCTACCCACATTACTCATTTATAAAATAGGGGCCCTAGTTAATCTTCACACCTTCAAATTCCGTAGATTTTTCACCACATATCAATGCACTATTTGTATAGTATTTTTTATTACGCATCTAGATGGCGTAAACCACATAGTCACGAGGGCTTGTTGTTCTCTTATGGAAACTGGTGAATTAAGATCCTGGACTTAAACTGATGAACCACACTGGACTAGGCGTATTGAGCTGGATTGCAGTGGAGCTGCCCACCACCAAAGTTGGGTGATAGCAGCAGGATTGGAACTCCTAGGAACCTTGAGGACACATTTACAGCGACGTAAATCGCATGTATTGTTTAGCTCAGTGTTGTTCAGGCATTCCTTCAAAGTGTTTTGTTACCTATTTAGGAACCTCACACCAGCGTTCCATCCGCATTACTATCTAACCGGGTTTTCTCACCACAAACAAATGTTTTTTTTGCCCAACCTCATCTTTTTCATGATTGCCCTTATACTGTTCACCTTAAACGGTTTAAATTCGTGTGCCCTGTTTTTGCTCTACACAAATTGGCATCTCAGGTTCGCTCGCTCACTCCAATGGGTTTGGAGCTTGGATTTTGGGTCGAGGAGTATGCAGGGAATCGAGGCCGCATTCCCCCGGTGAAACGACGCGGCTCATATTCTGTCCTCATGGCCACGATTGAGAAAGCGCACTCCATCGTTAATGCATTGATCGACGCAAAAAATCTGACAGATTTGGGTTTGGTCATTGTGGATGAGGTTAGCATTGAGCAGTACACATTTTCTTCTCCCGACTTACCTACTTATGTTTTACTTCAGTTCAGCTGGCTTGCGCAGAATATGTTTCATATATATTTCACACACAACTCAGTCCATACTGTACCAAACTTATTAGGGTTCAATAATCTTTATAACAAAGAATAAGACCCATGATTTAGTCTGAGACAGTAGAAAATAAGCTAGGTTCAGGGCGAATGAACATGCTCATTTCACTAAATGTAACTGCAATTCAAGGACGCACACATCTGTGTGAGACAGTTTTTTCTCATCGTCAGTTGATTTCGATCGTCTCTTAAGGATTAGCTCTTCGCATGCGGTACACAGGGGTTTTAAGGCCTCGGTTAGAGAGGTTTTTCTGGGTGTGGCCACCGACGTAAATCTTAGCTTTCTTGAATCACTAGCGCAAGTTGAGTAAATGATGGATATCATGACAATGGAATTTGTCTCAAAGGACACGGTATTCTATCAGCGCAGGGAGACGCTAATCCTATCCAATAGCACGTATGGAGGTTAACTGTTAATCCTTGCCTCAAGTATCAGTGCTTGTCTACCCGTTTGGGGTCTCTCAAGTCATCTTTTCTGTTACCTGAAACGTCAATTAAAAGATCGATGTTTTCATTGGGGGCGATAACAGGAAACAGCGTTCTTAAAACTTAGTATGACAAGTGGGAAATCCCACTATGGGTATCAATCCACTGCTATTTATCTAAATCTATCTGCATTTGAGTACATAAGCCATTCGATTTCCAATGTAACACCAACGTTGAATTTAATTGTTAAAGTAGAATGTAGTTCCGTATCTATTCCTAAACCAGTCACTTGTGATGAAAAAATTCCTCCAGTTCCGGATAATTTCTTTTTCATTCGGTGGCATTATGCAGTGTTATGCAACGTAAGTTTTAGTTGGAGTTGATCAGGCTAATAGTTCGCACCACCCTTCATATGTAGGTAATATTTTTAGGTCGAAACAGCTGTCCAGTGCTTCCGAGCTTTTCAGTTCATGCTTCATTTGCTATATACACGACGAATTGTCATTTAAAATTCAACCAAATCCTCCATTACCCACATGAAATAATATTTTTAGCTTTGTATGATCCTAAGTTCTTTCAATCATAGACTTCAAAATAACGTTTCTTTTCCATCCCTGTTTCGTGTTTCTTTAAATTCTAGCTACATATGATTGGCGAGGGTGGGTCTCGTGGTGCTTGTTTGGAGATGACCCTCACAAAAATCCGACTAGTTTCACGTGAGTATCTCATTTTACTTTGCATTTTATAACCTGTACTTGATCCAGCCGTTCAATCAGTCCTAAGTGACAGTTCTAAGACATTAAATCTCTCAGATTCAAAGTTCAAACCGCGTTACCACTTAGCTTCTGTGATAAGTAAAATTTAGTTCAGTAATACCTCTAACCAAATTAAGTCTTGTTTAGTTCACCAAAATGGGTCCTTAATATTAGTTTTTTTTGTTGTTGGGGGGGGGTCTTCTGTTCGAACAGCAAATACTTGCGACTGTGGAGTTTGTCTTATCGCTGTGCATCCTCTCAGTTTCTTTGCAATCTTATTGTCCATTAATTCTCTATTTTCACTCTGACAATGATTGGAACATTCCAATCTTCCCCGCACACCTTCTAGATGGGTAATCATGAAACAGCAATCGAAACCAGCACACAAAATTGCTTGGCTAATGATTGTAAAAACTGAAGTGAACTGATTTTATCGCTGTGTTTTGGCTTCAGAGATTGAGCTGTTTGTGGCATGTGTTGCGCACATCTTCAAATGGAACTGCTCAGAAACAGTCCCACCATTGCGAGTAATGCTTGATGAGTAGGTAGAGTGGTCATATCCAGTGACCTGTGGAAAGGTACCAAAACCACCAGTAAAGACCACCGAATAGTTCATGCTACTTTTTTAGTTGGGTTCCATACGACATATCCATTGGGCTACCAGAGGCATTAGATATGTCATTGTGACACTTTTGTTTGCGTTCGTTGAATTTACTTTATTGCTGGAAATTTTCAGAAAGAGAGCTGAAACCAATCAAAATTTAGCTAACTGTATGCTGCTGAGCGCGTCCCCAGGCTGCGGATGGAGTGATCAGCAGCCAATCTTGTGGTTAGTCGTGAATGAGTTGAGTCTGGATAAGCTGTCGCGGATAATCAGTGGCAGTGCTCGGAGACGCGATGTGTTTTCACCCGATCAGCGCTCTCCTATATCAAACCGCATAAGTCTGAAAAATGCACTGCGAGGTGGTGATTGCTACCCACCACTAAATAAGGTTACTGTCCTTGTGCTCTGTTAGGAATTAGGCGTGCTCCGTGAAACTGCTTTATTTTGGGACAGCCAATCAGAACCAGGATGACCGAACTCAAAATCGACAACCAGTCAAGACAGTTGACAACAATCCAGCCAACGAATCATTTTTTATGCATTCGTATATCCTCTCTCCTCCCTATTTCATTCATACATACAAAATGTCCATCACGACGGGACTACACCTTGACGTGGTGTGATGGCTTGTGCACCTCTATGACCCAACGAGCTACACAGGATGGCTTTATAAAGCCAGGAGGTCTTATCATGCCTGGAAGGTCAATGAGTCAATGGGAGGTCAGACGAAGTTCAGTCTCCTGGTTCTCCAGGTTGGGGGTTCGCCTGGGATTGGCGTTTCAGTCGATAAAAAGCGGTGGGGGAGTAATCAATCCAAGTAAATGGGCCTCCAATTCGCCTCACCCGCTGCTTTGCGGTTAAGTTCTTGTTAGAACTAAAGGCTTTGGATGAGAATCCTAATCGTTCTCCTGCTTGGTGGCTGGACACCCTATCAGTACCCGTCCACCAAACCCCAATGCATACACAAAATAAAAATAATTCCATACTGCATCGGTCGTCGCACAGGATAATCAGGACCGCGCTGCCCATTACATCGAGCAGGGTGGGTAGTGATAATTGGGCTACAGCTCAGACATCCCAAACTTTGTTTAACTCTTTGTCTTCCGATCCCAACGCACTCCCATTACCCCTTCTACCGACCTGTAATAGTCCCTCAAGAAACTTGGATGTCGCTTGCCAAAGGTCATTGCTAAATGGCACCGTAAGTAATTTACCACGGAGTGAATTGCAGACTCTGCAGCCTTGTCAATCACTGAATCTGGGGGCCTTCAACGTGAGGACTTTGATGCAGCTAGGTCAACAAGCTTGTCTGGCTCGTACAATGGAATCCTTAAGAATCGATATTTGCTGCGTGGCGGAAACTCGGATCCAGGATCCTACTACTCTAAGCGCGCCAGATTAGTCGACGAGATACGTTCTTCGCAAATCAGGCGACGATAAAGCTTGTTCAGTAGGTCAGCGTGGTGTAGGTATTGTACTGAGTAATAG